ATAATATACTTTATAAATATGTACTTTTATAATATTTAAAGAAGTTTATATACAATTATATATATATATGCAGGACACTATATATCATTATATATATATATATAATCAGTGCATGCTGTGGAAAACCTGATTGTGCTAATACCTACAGTTTTCTCTTCTTCCTGGTAACATCCTAAACCATTCCTCACCCTGCCCTGCAGTTAGGTGTGACCATATGACTGTCTTCTGCCCCACAGAACATGAGAGAAAGTGATACATCTGGTCTCTACATCCACCATATTCAGTTGTCCAGTTCTCAATTAACCCATGTTCTGAACAAAAAAATCAAACTTTGTTGAGTTTTGGCCACTGAGGTTTTGGGGTGGTTTGTCAGCGCCGTTGTCCTTGCCTCCCTAATGTGCTGGTGCAAAAGCCTGGGGCAGTGCTAGCTGCTGTTGCAGTCTTGGCTCTCTGCACCTGTGTTCTCTGTAAAGTGGTGATATAGGAACCTGCCCACAGGGTCAGGAGGAGTAAAAGAAATGAAGGATCACTTAGCCTCCTGGCTTAGCTTCTCTTCAACTACAGCTATTCCATCTAAGTGCTATAGACATAATTACCTTTTTCTTCCTTTTTTTTGGAAACACTGGGACTTGAACTCAGGGCCTCACACTTGCTAGTCAGGCATTCTATAACTTAAGCCACTCCACCAGTTCACCTTTTTTCTTAAAGCAAGATTATTCATAATAAAGCCTCTTCCAGGTTGTTAAAAGATAATGTGGATTTGCAGTATTTTAGGCCTGAAGCCAGAAATAATTGTACAGTTTTAATTCAGAATACTTCCTAAAACCCATTTGACTTAGGGTTTCAAAACCTAGATATATAGAGTAAGATGTTTCTAATTTAGAGTAAATATTTAAAACTATGAAATATTTTAAGAATACAAAAAAGACACAGTAGACATCTATATTCCCAGAACTCAAGGTAGTCAAATCTTAACATTTTGCTATATTATTTGATTCATGTTTTTTTCTAAAGAAATAGAAAAAAGAAAATGTACCTAAACCTCTTAGTACAGTGCCTGGCAAATGTAAAGCAGTCCGTAACTATCAACTTATTTTTTTGATGCTGGGTGCTTGTGGCTCACGCCTGGGATCCTAGCTACTTAGGAGGCTGAGATCAGGAGGATTGCTCCCACCCCCAACCCCGCAAATAGTTTGAGAGAGCCCATCTCCAAAACTAACCAGAGCAAAATGGACCGGAGGCATGGCTCAAGTGGTAAAGTGCCTGCTTTATAAGTGCCAAGCTCTGAATTCAAACCCTAGGCCCATCAAAAAACAATTTTTCTACTTTGAAATAATTTTAGATTTACAACAGAGTTATAAAGATAGCAGAGACATTGCTTGTATACCTTCCACCCAGCTTTCCTGAAGTTAGCTTTTAACATAACTATGCTATAGTTATCAAATAAAGAAATTAGTATTGGTATGACACTGTTAACTAAACCACAAACTTTATTCGGATTTCAGCAGATTTTTCCACTTACTTCCTTTTTTTGTTCCAGGATTTAATCCAGAACACCATGGTGCATTTAAACCAGCACATTTTTAGTCACTCATCCATTCATTCATCATACTACGAACACTGCCAACTTTTAGTCCAAGACAAGGTGTACTGTGTGCTATGATTATAATCACAGTATCATTTTTGTCTTTTTTGATTGAATCTAGGGCCTCTCAAATTCTAAGTGTATGCCCACCACTGAGTTACACCCTTAGCCCCTACAGCTATCATTTTTGAGAACTTACCAAAAACATTGTGCAAAGCACTTTCTATACATCCCGCTCAATCCTTACAACACTCCTCGTGGTGGTGACTATTGATCCCATGTTATAGATAGGGAAACCGAAGTATGGCAAGATTAACTCAGATCACACATCTGGTAAGAGACAGAGGTAGAATTTGAACCTAGGGAGTCTGGCACCAGTGCTTTTAATAATGTACCACCTTCTTGCATGAGGGAGAGTGGTCACTGTTACAGCTTCCTGGTGAGTATGGCAGGCAAGAAGGCATCCCTGGGAGGAGCCATCTTGGAGCCCCAGACTCTAAGCCCAGTCCACAGAGTCTCAAAAGGTGACCTGCTGAAACCCAAGCCCCAGGCCCAGGTTGAGGCTCTCTCCCAGCCTCTGGGCACCCCACTCCAGCTGGCCGGGATATGCTGCATAGATCGGGGTGATAATTTAGAGACTGGCTTCTGGAGCCACTATTTTGAGTCCTGCTGATGGTGCATGAGCAAGAAATAGCAAGAAGGACTGAGTTATCAGGCTGGGTGGGGTGGGGGGAAATCCAAGGGAATTGGGGATGGCAGGTGGGGCTCTAACCTGGGACTGGCTGTGCCGGCTCTGGAGAATTACAGGCTCTACCAATGCAAGGATGACTTGAGCTCAGCTTCTCATCCACAGAGTAGAGAGCATTGGTCCTGACTGGTTGGATCTGGGCCCTGTGACAATACGTGTATAGCAGCATCAACCTTCTGCCATCCTTCAGGTAGGACATGTGTATACCCTCTGGAAAAGGCCTACAGAGTATCTGAAACAGCCAACAGCTGTCTGGGATTGGGACCAAGTGCCACAAAGAGGTGAACAGAAGAGCTATTTGAACCTGAGCTCAGAGATCCTAGATCCAGGGGGTCACATTTCAGCCCTATCTCATTTTCTGTCAGTCTCAGTTTGTTCATCTATAAAATGGGGTCACGAATCCCTTCCAACCAAAGTGGTATGCATTTATATAGATTATGAACTGCAAAAGGAGTAAATGGAAGTTAAAACCCAGCCTGTGGTCAAATCGCTGAGCTGAGTACCCTGACTTGGAGCTGTGTCCACTTGGGAGGAAAGGACAAGTTTTCTTTCACTAAACTGGTTGTCCAGGGGTGCTTCTGGCTGAAAGTTTGGTTTGTGCAGAGGAGACACCTTTTCTAAATATGCACAAAGGAAAAACACTTGTTTTTCAGTAACAGAGCAGATAGCAGAGAAGTGTAAAAGTCCCTTAAGCCCCCAGGAGAGAACAGAGGTGGCCCCAGAATCTTGATGGAAAATAGAGGGAGGATTCAAAGGGGCTTGAGAGTGGTAAGACATGCAGGAACAGGGTGTCAGGGAGAGCCATATGGTGACACTCTGCATGCAGGTGGAGCTGGGAACAAAGGAGGTGCCCTATGGAGGTGACCAGTTCTGAGGCCTGCTAGGATCCATTCCTCTTTATGGCCTTGGTAAGAGGGCCAAGCGGCAGTGGTGCCAACCCATAGGTGCTGGTCTGTGGACCTGTGCAGCTGGACTTGAAGACACAGACATGGCTAGAAAGTATGGGAGCCATGGGAACCTTGAGCAAAAAGCCTGGCCAGAAATAGCCAGTGGGGAAAGAATGTGAGTACCAGGCAATTTTAAGTCAGAGTTACAGGTGATGTCACAAAGGGTAGATGTACATTTTGGTGGCCTGAGGAGGTACTACTAAGTTTGAGAGTATTGGGAAAGATTCCCAGAAGTGACATCTGAGCAGAGATTGAAGGGAGAAGAGGGTGAGGGTGGTACTGTCAGATGGTGTGACCTGGAGCCTATGCACACCAGCAGTAAGAGAGTTGAAGTGCATTCTGGGAACTGCACATGGATTTACCACTTTTTAATTGCACAGTATGTATAGGAACAGAATTATGGTATGGCTGGAGATGTAAGAAAGTCTCAGGTGATGAAGCACCTTTATCCTCTGTCAAGGTGTTTGTACTTTTGTGGTTTTAAGTGGAAGGATGGCATGATTGGATTTTTCAGTTTAGTAGGAGTCTGCCTTGGTGAGGCAAGGCTGGAGCCAGAGAGACTGTTAGTGGGGCGTCACAAGATGCCAAGTGAGAGATGAGGATGGATTGATTTTGAGTAGGCACGAGGAAGATGAAGCTAAGTGAGCACACCTCAGGGGTGAATTTAGGAGTCCAAAATGATACGTGGCTTGGGAACTATGCTGTGGGAACCCTCCAGTGAGATAAGGAATCAGTAAGAGGAGCGGGTCTGGATGCAGGGTGATGGAAAGCTCAGCTGAGTTGAAATTCAAGGCAATATTCAAATGGAGGTGGTCAGTGGGAGGCAGAGGTTTTGAGCTCAGGAAAGAGAATTAGGCCCTATCTGTCTGGGATCATCAGCCTAAAGGCTGTGGGAGCAGAGGATCCCCCCAGAAGAGAAGGAACCCTGAAAGAGACAAGGGGCAGAGGATGGAACCCTGACCAACCTTAACATTCTAGGGCCAGCCAGAGGAAGCAAGGCTGAGAGGAAGAAGGAAGGCGGGCACCCTTATGAACACCTTGGGTATGTACCATCTACAGGTGAGGAACTGAGAAGGGAGTGTTCTGTATTCTAAAAATCTAAGACACTCAGAGCTAACTGCTTTGTTCCATAACATAACAGCCCTTTGCCTAGGATTTCTTGTGTCTTCATCCCAAACCTATCCTCCTCTTATTTAAAGCCTCTACTTTTTAGTCGTCTGTAATGTTAAGCAGTCCTTTTAGAAGTGGGATGCAAATGAAAAGATTGGTTCCAAAAGATGCTTATTTGGGCATAGCAAGTGTTTTGTTGTTTTTTTGTGGTTCTGGGGATTGAACCCAGGGCCTACACATGCTAGGCAAGCACTCTACTAATAAGCTACTTTTCCAGTTCCAACAGCAAGTTTTGGTTGTTGGCTTTGGATGGGGTGGGCATGGAAAGGATGTGATCCCTGGAACTTTGGTCTTTATCAGACAACCTCATCTTTTGGGGAGAGTATCAGAAGGATGAGATGAGGAAGAAGTCTGCAGTCCTCAGTACTTGTACCCCGACTGCTCTCTCTCCCATCCAGAGCCACTCTATCAGTAACTATCCCTACCTGCTCTCCTTCCTCACTAGGCCTTGGTGCAGGCTCTCAGACTTCTTCTCAGCTGCCCAGGCATCTGGAACCTCATAGCCTCAATGTGCATAAGCCATTGTCTCAAAAATCACCAGAAAGTCTCCTGTCTTTACTATGATGAACCTTTTATTATAGAGACAGACTGAATTCTCTTTTGTATAAAGAATCTCTGGATTGGGTCAGGGGATCTACCTGCTAAAGGTCGCCACCCAGCTATCCCTGCCTCTGCCTAAGCTAAGCCCCAACCTGTTGTTGACATCTCAGAGTCTCTGGAAACAGCAGAGGTTGCCATCCCCAGGGCCAGGCTGATCGGGTTGGGCCACACTGGATGGAGGGTCAGGGCTCCTGGTTGCTCTCTGGGTCAGAGCCGCCCTGTCCCCCGCCCCAGCCGGTTGTCTAGAACCTGGAGCTGCCGGAGGAAACCTGAGTTGGGGCAGATGTCTCGGTGGGCCTGTACCGTCTGGATAGCCTCCATCAGCGTCATGTTCTTGCAGATCATGAGGAAGGCCAGGACAACCGTGGCAGAGCGGCTTACCCCCATGGCACAGTGTACCAGCACGCGGCCTGTAGGGAGACCCAATCTAGCATTAGCTACCTGCCCCCGCATCATCTACCTCTTTGGGAAGAAGAGACACCCCTGGCCATCTTTTCAGCCCACCCATCACAGCATTTTGGAAAACTAACACTATTTTCAATATCTTTGGGGCAACTGAGGCCCAGAGAGGGAATAAGACTGGCTCATGGTCACACAGCAAGTTAGTGACAGGGCTAAGGTAAGAAGCTGGGATTCCCTTTTCTGGGCCCAGGTTGCTTCCTCTGGCATCCATTACAACTTGGAGGTGGTTGCTGAAATCTTGGGGTCCCCTAGATTTGTATCAGATTATAGGGGATGACCACCTGCCTTCCTGTCCTCCCAGTACTGCCTTCTCCCATACCCCTGCAGCCCTGTTCTAAGTCCTCCTCTGATGGGATCCTGCTCAAGAGCCTCTGGAAGGTCTTGTGCCTTCTGGCCAATGCCTGGCCCTTACTGAAGGCTATGGTCACACTGATGACCTTGGTGGATCTTTGTATGTCTGAATTTGTTGGTTTCCAGGGCATCCCTGAAGGTGACACTCATTAAATGCCCATAGGGTGGGAGGATTGCTAATAGGTTTGGTGCTCTGGACTCCCCACCCATCAGTGCTACTGGAGAAATGGATAGCCCAGAGCATACCCTGACCTCTAACCCATCCAGTGCCTTCCCCAGCAGCTCACCTCGGGGAGTGTTGAGGGCAGCTCCGATGTATTGAGCAACAGGCAGAAAGTAGATGCTGAGGTCAAAGAAGGGGTTATCCTCAGCCTCAATGCCATAGTATTCCAAGGGTATCCCACGATAGAACTTGGCACCTGTGTCTACTTGAAACTTGCCTGCAGCAACATTCACAACATGGGTGATGCCCAGTTGGATCAGCCGGTTCTTGTCCCGGGCAGCGTACCTGGAGGAGGGGCATAAGAGGAGTTAGGAGGTAGGGGGAGATCTCACTTGAGTCAGCACTGGCTGGGTTGGAGCTTGCCCTTAATCACACTGTTCCCCTCCAAGGGTGGAGGTTAGAACCCGTGAACTGCCCTGGTGAAGGGGCTCCTCTAGTTGGAGTTTAAGACTCCCATTGAGGGCAGCCCTTCTGGAAGGCAATTAGACCACATGCACTAAAAGCCTTAGAACTGTACATATATTTTGTCCCAGTAATTCTTCTTCTAGGAGCACAAAAAAAAAAAGATTTTAAAATGTGTCCACAGCATATATCTGAAGGAATGTGCTCCAGGATATGATAGAGCTGCTTGCACACCCATGTTTATTGCAGCACTATTTACAATAGTAAAGGTTTGGAAGCAGCCCAAATACCCCATGACTGATGAATGGATTAAGAAAATGTGGTATATCTGCACAATGGAGTTTTATAAAGAAGAATGAGATTATGTTGTTTGCAGGTAAATGGATGGAACTGGAGAACTTCATCTTAAAGTAAGTCAGGCTCAAAAAAGTCAAACGTCGCATGTTTTTTCCCCTCATGTGGAAACTAGATATTTAAGTTAAATGTATATATAGACACATATATTGTCATATATATTATATATATATATATATAAACAAAAAAAAATATATATATATAAAAGCAAGATTGTTTAAGTGAGTCTGCCAGAGGGGACCATGGGAGGCAGGAGAGGAAAAGAAAATGTTAGAGAGTGAAAAAGATCGAAACAACCTGTCTATATATGAATATGATTTCATGTACTGCACTGTAAGCTGTTGAATATTAGGGGAGCATGGTGATAGAGAATGAGTAATGGGGGGGTTAATTTGATTAAAATGCAATATATAGAAGCCTAAAGTACAAGGTGAAACCCCCTTGGACTACCAATAGACACTTCAGAAAAATGAAGGGCAGGGGGTAGAATAGGTCTTTTCCCAGGGTGGGTACCAGTGGGATGCAGGTGGGCAAAAGGAAAGGGGAATGAGGATGAATATAATGGATGTATTTTTTTATCCATATATGAAAATAGAAGAAGAAAACTTGTTGAAATTATTCTAAGAAGGGAGGTAGGGGGGAAGCGGGAGAACTTGGAGGAGGTAAATATAAGATATATTGTAAACACATATGTAAATATTACAATGTATCTTCCTATACAACTATTATATGCTAATAAAATTTTTAAAAATAAAATAAGTGCCACAGATGTATGTGAACTGAAATTAGTGATATTTAAGACAGTAAAAAACTAGAAAAAACAGGGACACCTCAAGCCTGTAATCCTAGTTACTTGGGAGATTGAGATAGGGAGGATTGTGGTTTGAGGCCAAGCAGGGCAAAAAGTTTATAAGACCCCATCTCAACCAATAGCTGGGTACAGTAGTACATGCCTGTCATCCCAGCTACAACAGGGAAGCATAAAACTGAAGAACTGTGGTTCAGGCTGGTCTGGGCAAAAAGTGAGACTCTATCTCAATAGTAACCAGAGAAAGAAGAGCTAGAGGCATGACTCAAGTGGTAGAGCACCTACCTAGCAAGTGCAAAGCCCTGAATTCAAACCTCAGTGCTACCAAAAAAAAAAAAAAAAAAGAAAGAAACCTGGTAGTATCCTATAACAGGATATTAAATATTAAATATTCCAAGGTTTTGCTTTCCCCACTTTCATTTACCCAGTCAAACACAGTCCAAAAATATTAAGTGGAAGACTTCAGAAATAAGCAATTCATAAATTTTAAATTTTGTACTCATCTGAGCAGTATGTGAAATTTTGCACTGTCCTGCTAAGTTGTGCCCAGGATATGAATCATTCTTTTGTCCAGTGTATCCACACTGTATATGCTATCTACCTTTTAGTCATTGCATAACTGTCTCACTATTAGTTTGTCGTGGTAATGCAGTGCTATTGTTCAAGTAACCCTAACTTAATACAGTAATTACTTTGTATGCTGTTGTTCTCTTACTCTGCCTAATTTAAAAATTAAACTTTTAATAGATATGCATGAATAGGAAAATCATAGCATATACAGGGTTTGGTACTACCCTTAGTTTCAGGAGTCCATTGGGGGGGGTCTTGGAAATACTCCCACAGATAAGAAGGACTGCTGTATATCTAAATTATGAAATGCTAAATAACCACTAAAATGTGGTAGCACAGGTAAACAAGGAAAGATGTTTATGCTCTATTAAGAACCTGTCAAAATACAGGATACAAACCAGAATGTTGTTGTAAAACTTAAAATATGTAGTGATTTCATTTAAAAAGCTTTCTATATAAAGCAGTTCACAAAACAGTATTATAAAGTGACACCATTTTTATTAAAAAAACTGTGAAGAGGCATGCATTTGTGTATGCATTTTTAAAATGTCTACAAAGATTTCATCTGTGTGGGAAGAGGAATATTGTATTTGTCATATTGTTAAGAAGATATTAATCCTTGTTTTCTAAATATTGAGGAAATGTCTAAGTTACATATGTGGCCTATATTTTCTGAAATTTAAGATAACTTTTAGGAAAAATAACCTATAATTCTACTCTCTCATACACACACACACACACACTCTCTCTCTCTCTCTCTTTCTCTCTCTCTCTCTCTCTCTCTCTCTCTCTCTCACATAACCTAGAGAGAAACACATGTGTTTTCCAGGACACATGTCCTTAAACATTCCTTGGATCCCTGTTCATATAGCCAAAGAGTGGAAGCAATTCAAATGTCTGTATACAACAAAATTTGTGCATATTACCATACAGTGGAATACTGTTCAGGAGTCAACTGCAGCTATACATAATAGTGGGTGTCTCTCAATTTTAAGCAAATGATAGCAGACACAAACTAGACAATATAGTTCCATTCATATAACTTTCAAGAGACAAAAAAGAAGTGGAGATTGTTTAGGTACATAGGTAGTAGAACTTGAAATAAAGGCAAGGAAGTAATGATTGTCCACTGGGGGAGGGAAAGGTTGTAAGGGGAGGGTTCAGGAGGGCTCCCAACAAGTTATGTTCTGTTTCTTGGCCCAAGAGGTGAAACTGTCATTATGTGCTCTTTTCTTACTTTTTTGCTGTTGTTGCTGCTGCTGAGGTTTGAACTCAGGGCCTCCCACTTGCTAGGCAAGGTTCTACCACTTGAGCCACATCTTCCTTGTTTTAGTTATTTTTCAGATAGGGTCTTGCCTCAGACCTTGCTTCTCCTACCTATAGTCTCTAACACAGCTGGGTTCATAGGTGCATCCCACTATGCCTGGTTTATTGAGATGGGGCGGGAGGTCTCACTAACTTTTTATCTGAGCTGGCCTCAAATCATGATGATCTGATCTCTGCCTCCCATATAGCTGAGATTACAGGCATGAGCCACCATGCCTGGCCTTTTGTTTGTTCTATTTCCACAGTAAAAGGTAGTAACAATAATATGAGAGGAAAGAAAAATGTGGAAAGGGATGGTGGGAGGTGCCACCTCTGCTCCTGGGCTCTAGGAGAGGTTGTGCTGCCATTCCCATGTGGACCTCACACCCATCTGTCACTCCCGATGTGGGCCTTACTCACGCATCTCCCAAGAAGAGGTTGGGCCAGACCTCATTGATGTGGCTCAGCGTGGCAGCCCGACGCACCCACAGCAAGCGCTGCAGCGAGGCCAGTGTGGGTGGCTGGTAGGAGGACCCCCTGCTTGCCCCATGGATCTTGGGCCTCTGGAGGTCTTGCTTCTGCAGTGTGTCCATCCTGGAACAGAGGGAACACTGCAGTGACTGGAGGCAGGTGCCCTAAGGATGGGTTCTGCTGACAGCAAGGCCTGAGGTACAGTGCCCAGGTGCTGCTGGGAAGCTGTGGGAAGGGCCTGGGCTGAAGGTTTTTTGTTGGTTTTCAGTGGTATTGTGGCCTCAAGCTTAGTGCTTTATAACTTGAGCCACGCCCTCAGCCTGGATGAGATTAGTTTGGATGAGGTTACTGACCAGCTCAGCTGGGCTGGGACTTAGAACCTTCTCCCCAGGAACAAGGGGAATCAGAAGTCCCTTGTCAGTGCATCGTGCTTGCAGACCTCTCTCCTCTCCTCTCCTGAGCCATGGATATCGGAAACTTGGTTTTTGGGGTTCCCTATTTGTGACGCTAGCCCCTTAAGAGGCTGGTCAGTTGGACTTCAGAGGGGTGGATACCCCAGATGACTGAGGCTCTTGCCCTCCAACCTGGGCAACTCATCTCAAGCCTCCATCCCTCTGTGTCCAGGGCTGGTCCTCAGGCTCCCATCTCCCACTGGCAGGTGCTTGCGATCGGATGTGTTGCGATCGGATGAGATGAGAGCCCTTCTCCAGGATGTGATCTGGGGACTGTGAACTGGTATTTGTCAGTTTTTCTACAGTGAATGAGCTGACGCCTCATATATCTAACGTCTCTCTTGTGGTTGTCCCTGTTTTACAAAGGGGCACACTGAAGTTCAGTGACATCCAAAGCCACGTGACCAATGAGTAGCAAGGCAGGGTTTTCAATCTCTTCCTGTGCATCTTCCATTCCCATCCTGTGCATCTTCCATTTCCCAGCCTTCCAGTTGCCATCTTTGGGGACTCCAGAGAGTGGTTACTAATTCGTGCATCTCCTCAGGGGAGCCTGGCATAGCTGAACTATACATCTGCCTACAGGCCCCGGGCTTTTCCTCCTTACCCCCATGACTCAGGCCAGTGCGGCTCCGCAGGCCTCACCCGGGTAGGGTGGGTTGTGTCTGGAGTCAGCTGGCTCAGGGCGTCCAGGACCCTGCAGGGCTGGGGTGTCAGTGGCACCAGAACCTGGGCCTGGTGCTGGGATAGAAAGGAGGGCCTATCTTGGCCAACTGTCCCTGATTCCCTCAACCAGAAACTAGGGAAGGTACAAACTGGGAAGAACATCTTTTCCTTCTGGTGGGCAGTGCCAGGACCAGAAAGAGAAATAGGCACCCAGGAGGCCACGGGCTTGGCCAAGCTCACCCAGCGGGTGGCTGGTGCGCAGGGCGGGAGTGAAGACCCAGATTTCCCCCTCATCCCTCACTGTGACCTCTTGGGGCAGGCTGGATGGCCTGCCACGTACCTAGGGCATGGTCTGGGGCTGGGAATGGGGTACCGGGTGCAGGGGCAGGACTCAGCAGGTGAGCGGAACAGGGTTGGGGCAGGTTCCGCCCAGAACACAAATGTTGTGAAGCGCTTAGAATTCCAGGTCGTGACCTTGGAGCCCATGGGGGAGGGGAGATTGTGGGGTTGGGGCTGACAGCAAACCTAGGCTGGTGTAGACTGTGAAGCAGCATTCCTTACAATCCCAGGCTCCCTTCTTGGCATCTCTGAGATGGAAGGTTCTTGGCCTGTAACCCGCTTCAATACAGAGGGACTTAAAGTGGTGTCAAGAGAACTTTAGAGGGAGGGAGAAGAGACTGGTTCCCTGTAGGGCTCTGCCATGACTAATCCTGTGGCCTGGAGCAGGTCTTTGCTCCTTCCTGGGCCACAATTTCTAAAATGCCAAAAATTCCTGGCTTTGCCTGACTCCTCAGGATTCTGTCTGGAGCAAGAGAGAGGAACAGCTGAATAAAGGAACAGAGCAGTGTTGTATGGTGGAGTGGATAAGGCCCCAGGCTCCAGTGGAGTCCAACAGTCACACTGGTCTGGAGCCACCTGGTGGGGCTGCTTTAGCTCCAGGCAGGACCAGATCCGGTTTGAAGAAGACGGCAGGCCAGTTCAGGTTTGATGGGGCTGGTGTGGGGTAAGGTCGCCCCCAAGTGGCCAGTGGGTACCACGCAGCCCAGCTGTGACAGCAGGCAGCCTGGCTCTGGCTGGGAAGAGCTGAACTCCATCCCTCCTGAGGGATCCAGGGACGCCAGGGAACAGAAGGTTGCTAGGGCACAACCCTGGCCTCACCCTCCTAGGAGACCTGACTCAGGTCTGAAGAATGGAGCTTCTTCTTGCATTTGGGGCTACTCCTGGTCTGGTCCCACCTAGGACCTCACTCCTAATGCTCAGTGTACCCTCAGCCATCTGCTGTGGTCCACTGGGGGCACAACCCACTTTGTTGGTCAGAGCGCCAGGCTCAGCAACACATCAAGTGACCAGTCCTTCAAGTTCCAGGCACACCCAGGGAAGGGAATCAGGGACTGCAGCTCCCCTGGTTTCTGCTGCTCCCAGCCCTGGGCTGTGAAGGGCCCTGTCTGACACTTCCTCTTGCATCTTCTGAGCCTCAGCAGAGTAAAGCATGGCCCAAGGTCTAGCAGGGCCAGAGCCCAGCCGCTTCCATCCCACTCACTCTAGACCTCATCTGCTCCCCACTCTGCCTTGCCTCTTGGTCTATGTGGGCAGTGGTTTTCCTGCTCCTGTGCTGCTGCTTACAAGTGCACACCCTTATTTTCTGTCTTCACTGAATCTCTCTTCTTTATCTTGCTCTCCATTTGCCTGTGTCCCACCCTCTCTCAGGAACCTCAGCCTCCTAGAACCCCCACCCAGCATGCCTGTGGCTGCAAACCAAGTCCAGGCTTCCGGGGCAGGGTCAGCTGTTAGCCATCCACCTCAGCTGTGGCTGGCTCTAGGAGACATTTCCCCTGGTGCCAATCCTCTTCTCCAGGGGGACACAGGCCAGGTGGGGCTGGAGCTGTCAGGGCACCACAGTGAGGAGCCTGGGGCAGGCAACTTCCAGGTGTGGTGGTGCAGCCTTGGAGGACAGACCTGGGTAGAATTCTCAGGTCTGCTGCTTGTATCTATGTGTTCTTCTCTGAGCCAGTATCTTTAGTGGGGCTGCTGGAAGAATCTCACAAAATCATAAATGGAAAGTGCCTCCTACACAGTCTGCCTCATGCTAGATGCCCAGTAAATTGTGCATCTTGCTATTATTATCATTACTAGAATTACTTTACCCTTTCAAACGTCAGCCTAGGCAAGTGCTCTGCCAGTGAGCTACAGTCCTACGTAAATGGCAACTTGCCTATGGGGCAATGGGATTGGTCTGTATCTCTTTGTCTCTCTTGCAGTTTATTTATCCAGAAACAGCTATTATATTCACCGCTTATTGAGAAAGGATATTCTATAAACCAGACAGTCAGTGCTCAGGACGTACATTTTCTCATTGAATCCTCATAGTGATTTTATGAAGCAGGTTATATTATCATTCCCATTTTACAGAAGGGAAAAGTAAGGCTCAGAGAAATTAAGCAATATACCCAAGGTCACATAACCAATAGGTGTGGGAGCCAGGATTCATGGCCAGGTCTTTCTGCCTCTCCTATGCTTTGTCTGTGCCTCTATCTCTGACCCATTTGGTCCCCTAACCCAATCCTCTTACTTGCCTGACACACATGGGCACAGGTGCCCTGTCCCCATTACCCAGCATGCTCAGAGCCCCCATGAATTAGTAGCATTCACCCACCTGTGAGAATATCCGGCCCAGACTGTGGTCTTCTCTGACGGGCAGTTTGTGCTGCTGGCTTCCATCTGTCTGCCTCTGCACACTTGATGCTGTTTCTATTTTTTGATTGGAGGTTAATTATAAAGCATTCTGTTTGCTCCCCCTTTTCAGCCTTCCCCTGCCACACCCAATTTTGCCACTGGTCCCATGGCATGGGCAGTGCAAAGCCCAGCAAGGCACCTTCTCCCAGGGCTGGGCCTCAGCTCTGACCCTGCTTGACATAGAGGCAACTTGGAGGGTCTGCCTGTGGTATGTGTGTATGTGAGTGCTGAGTAGCTGGGCAGGGAGAAGGAAGATCTAATAAGCCACCTTAAAAGCTCCCTCTGGGGCTGGGATTGTAGCTCAGTGGCAGAGCACTTGCCTAACATGCATGAGGTCCTGGGCTTGATCCCAGCACTGGAAAACAAACAAAACCTTCCTTGACCTTCAAGGGTCATGTAGAGCAAGGGCCAAAAGTGAGAGCTGGCCGTTATGAGCCTATTTGGAATTGTCGCAACGAATTCCCCCTGTACAATGAATATATCTTAATACAAAAAAAGTGAGAGCTGGAAGGCTCTATGGAGGATCGCTGAGAAGTACCACCCAAAGCACACACAAAGTGGTGGCATGGCCAGTATCAGTGCCCAGTCCCAGGGATGCAGAAGATATGAAATGAGATTAAGATCTGGCAGATTCAGACTGTCGGAGGCAGTGCAGGCAGACACAGGTATAAGTAAGTGGGTACAGAGCAGGTCTTTAGACCAGCCCTATTCTGTAGTCAGAAGCTTTGTCCAGGAGCGACTCCCACCTACTCAAAGACAGGGATCCTCAAACCCTGGAATATCCCTGGCCAAGGCCCTACTCTCCTATGTGACCAGTGAGATGGTCTCTAGGTCTCTCTCAAGGATACTTTTGATCAGAGACCTTGGATTTCAGCCTATTAGGAATCCTCCTTATTATTCAGAGACCCTTGTCATACACCCATACCTTGATACTCCATCCCACTCCACCCTCAGAGGGCACGACACACACACACACACACACACACACACACACACACACACATACCCCCCCTCCAGCCACACTTCCACTGGGCCTCTGAAGTCTGAGCTCCCAAAAGCTACGATTCAGCAACTGCTGGGTTCTCTCAACCTTGGGGAGAGCTGGTGAGGCAGTTATGGCCAAGGGCTATCAGGAACATTTAGAATCCTACTAACCCCCTCCAGGGAACATAGTGTCCCTGGCCAAAATGCTTCTGGGCTTGACTGAGAGGGCAGCCCATTCCCACCTGTGGGGACTGAAGACAGTAGCTGAGAAAGGGTGCAGGATATATGAGGAAGTGGATGGAGTAGCTAGCTTGAGGATGGGCCCCACACCGGGCTCTTGCTGTCATCTGGGCATCCACCTGGGCTAGAGCCTCCAGCAGTATCAGTAGGGCCAATGCCAGGACAGCAAAGTGGCAGAGCCCTGTGGCAGGGAGTGAGGACCGGCTCTGGGAGAGAGATAAGATTGTGTTACAGGCAGATAAACCAAGGCTCACTCTGACTGAGACTTGTTAGGACTGGGTGAAAAGCTGTCTCTTAACCCAGCTTCTGCCTTGAGTTCTGTGAATAAGGCCAAGGACATACACAGTCATAGGCTGTGCACTGCACAACTCCTGGGGTCTTCAGTTACACAATTTGGTGGATGATGCCTCCACAGGTTGTGCAATACTGTAGCCAGGTGACTGATAGACAAGATGCTGAGGTCAGAGGTCAGGTGTCAGCCAGAGGCTGAGGACTAGGGTGATTAGGCATGATCAGAGATCTGCTCTGCCAGGTTCCTTAATCCTGTCTCAAGGAGAGAGACAGGCTGGGAGCTTGCCATTCCATGGGGGGACCTGTCCTTCTTGATAGAGCCTAGTGTAGAGGTACGGGACAGCCCAACCTGGCTGTGCCACAGGCTTTCAGCCAAGGCAAGGTAGGGCAGCCCCAGGTGCAGGTCGAAAGGCCTCACCTCTTCCATATAATGCTTCCTACCCCCTCCCTTCCTTGACTTGCTTTTCTCCCTGGGGTCTGAATAATCTGGGTGGGCTGAGGGAGACAGGGAAGGGATCTTACAGGAGGATTGCCTGCCAGGCCCTGTGAGACCTTGGGTAGACCAAGGGAGGCCAGCAGCTTGGGGAATGGGTCAGGCCCCCTTCCACCCTCACTTTCCATCACACACAGCACTGCCAGCCAACCCATCCTACGTCCCTTGCTAGGCCCTCATCTGACTTCTCACTGCTAACCACACACAGCTTAACCCCCTTAACCTCAACTTACCTGGCCCCTCAGCTCTGGCCTGCACCCCGCAGTTGTTGGTCTAGCTGGCAGAGCTGGTGGAGGAAGCCACGGTTGGGGAAGATCCATCGGCGCTCTCTCACAGCGATCACTGCTTGGCGCAGCGACAGCTGCTGGTGCAGCATCAGATAGGCCAGGACCAGGGTGGCAGAGCGACTCACACCCACCACACAATGTACCAGGACCTTGGCTGAGAGAGATGTCCTGGTGAAACACCCCTTCCCACTAGCTGGCCCATGCAGGGGCTGGAGTTGAGACCCAACTTCCCTTCCTTACCCTGCCTTAGATACACTCTGGGACCATGGGCAAGTCACTTAGCCTTTATGGGCCTCAGTTTCTCAATCCCTCAAATAAGTAGTAGATCAAGACCTGTTTCACCTAACCTTGGGATGCAGTCCAAGTCCTTAACATGGCTTACAGGACTCTCCAAGAATTGGTCCTTCCTGTGCCTGCAGCCTCACCTCAGACAGACCGACACCAACCTTCGGCTCAAGGAAACAGCTAATTTTTAGTTTCTTGAAGCTGTCATGATCTCTGACCTCTAGCCTTAGCACACGATAGTCCTACTCCCTGGAAAATGTTCCCCATGGTCTTGGTCTGACTAACTTCTACTACTCATCCACTAAGTTTCAGCTGAGACATGGCTTCCTCCCACTGGCTTTCCTGACCACTCAAGTATCCCTTGAATCACAGAGTAGCTCATCACTTTTGCATGTGACCCGGCGCAAACTACTGTAGAGGGAGGTTCCCCACTAACCTGATCTTGTGCACTGGGTGTTCCCTCAGCTCTTCACATGTGTGTGCCTGCTCATATCAACAGCACTCACAATACTTCACAATTTCACTGGCAAGTTCCTTGAGGGTAGGGACCCTACTTTATTTAAGTGTGGATTCTCAGAATTTAGTTCAGTGCCTGGCACATAGCAGATACTCAATAAACAGCTGATGGTGGAATAGATGAAGGACAAAAGAATGCCAAAGTGCTTTGGGTGTTAAGCAATATGAGTTACAGATTAGGAAACTGAGGTCCAGAGAGGGACACTGGATTACCCATGGTCACATAGCAAAGGGCACTGCTGTCATCCAGGATAAACACAAAGCAGGGGTTCCAGGGTTCCAGGGTCCTTGGTTATACCCTAGGTATTTGATAACTTTTCATTTGGAAATACTTTGGGGCAGACATTTGGGTACCAAACAGTGATTTCCAAAGGCTGAGTGCTACAGAGAAAGGATTGTTCTGCTGTTTGGGAGACCTGGCTTCCAGGGCTAGGTCTGCCCTTAATCATGGCATGCGCTTGTATTTTGGCCTCAGTTTTTCCATCTGTGAAGCAATGGGGTTAGATAAAATGCTGGAATGCTGAGCGGAGGGTTTTTAAGGACCAGGGATGGGAGGGCACTGATGATTAAGGAGGAAATAGGGCATCCTCCCCACCAATAAGCGGGTGGGATATATGGACTCTGGCTCCATTCCTACCTCCAGGTGTGTTGAGGGCACGGTGGATGAAGTCAGCTGCAGAGGAAAAGTAGGTGCTGATGTTGAAATCAGGGAGATCGTAGGCTGGTACCCCCAGGTAGCTCACACTGCTGCCATAGAAGTCAGGGCCACCCTGACAGTAGAGACCCCCATGGGCGGCGTTCAGCACGTGGGTGATGCCCAACTTCCACAACTCAAAGCGGTTATTTGCTGTGGCCCTGGAGAAGGAAGGAAGGGGGCTGGATTCTGGCTGAGCAGTGGGGTCCAGGAGGGAGGCTTTGCCTGGCCCCCTGCTTCGGAAAGATGAAGCTGTAAGACTCCAAAGAGAGCTAGTGCCCGGCAATCCCCAGTTGGGTCTATAGCCAAGAGCTCCACCCTGAGAGCTTTCTGATGGGAGAGTTGGTGGCACGGGGGTTAGCTTTAGACTCCCAGCTTCCTCAGATAGCTATCTCTAGACAGGGCAGGCAGGAAGGGATTGTTTCAGCCCTGGAAACTGGCTTCCCCTCCCTTCTTGCCCCTTGTTGTCTCATACATATTCCACATATGTGGAATATGCCTCATACCTGACTCTAATCTGCAAATGTTTAGAGGTGACACCTCCCTGATTCACCTTCAGTCAGACTCTCCACTCTGTTTCCAGAAGAGAGAGGTTGGGACCAGAAAGGGGGTGGATCTCTGTCTACTCCATCTCATACCTCAAATACTATTCCCTAGCTTCTGCCCCCCAAGATTGGCCCATTGTCCTGGATGTGCCAGAAGACTCCAGGGACCTCTGGAAAGCTCTGTTCTTCTAGGCATGCAAAAATCTCTGCTCCCCCCGGTGGCAGAGACTGGTCACTACATTATTCCCAGCACTTCCCAGGCCTGGAGAAAATTCCTACCTGGGACACTCAGAACAGAAGTTATTTCCCTTTTACCATCCACCCACATGTCGGGTAAAGAGTTCAAGGGCTGGTTCTCCTTGCTCCCACCCCCACAGCCCTGTACCAGTGGCCACTCACGCATCTCCTATGAAAAGATTGGGCCAAACTTCATCCACCCGGCTGCAAGAGGCCTTCCCTGCCCTCAGGAGCTCCTCCAGCTGCAGGACACTGGGGCAAGGCGTGGCTTCAGGGTCTCCCCCCAGTTCTGGGAGCGAGGCCTCAGCCATGGGCCAGCCAGCCCACCCCTCTGCCTCTGCAGTCACTCCTCTCTTGCTTCTCCAATGTCATTTCTCCTTCCTGGAGAGTGGCAGGGACAGGTGGGACAGGAGTAAGTGACTCAGCAAGTCCCGGGTCCTTCAGAGAGGACAAGACCTATTTCTCCCAAGCCAGCCTCTATCCCCAAACTTCCTGAGAACATGGTATCAGACAGACAGACCCCTGCAAATCACTACCTCTCTCAACCACAGTTTCTTCACCTGTAGAATAAGAGTAATCACACCTGCCTGAGAATTGTGTTAAACAAAACAAAGGATGTGCTGTGTCTAATGCATAGTAAGAGCTTTGAAACATTTGCTGAACTGATAGGTTTAGAGACATGTATAGGTTATTTGGTTATGAGAACTGAGTTAAAGCAGAGATTCATGGTGAAGAAGTGGCTGGTTCCAAGGATGAATGATAGAAAAAAATGCAGATCTGGGTGGGCCACAAATGGGTGGGAGAAGTTGGATGCCTTGGATGAGCCTCTGGATTACAGGAGCTCGGGGGCAGTTTTCTGAGTCAAGGAGTCAGAGGAAGAGACATGAAATAAAGCATTTAATGGGTGCCCACAAGATTCATGGGGGAGGGAGGAGGGTTGAACAATGGTCCTATAATGAAGATGGCTGATTTATCAAAAGAGCAGGCTGAAGGGGCCTTATATTTAAAAGAAGAGATTTGAGTGTTGCCCCAAACTTTGCGAGCCCAAAAGCCTGACATAAGAAACATTTTGAGGGAGAGAGGGAGATTCCTCTGCCTACAGGGCTTTTGGCCCCAGAATAGAAACTGGAAAAAAAAAAAAAAAAAAGTCCCACCTGTCCTGCCAGAGCTGGTTATCACCAAAAGAGATGAGATGTCTTGCTCTGTTTCATGTGACTTCATGGAGGTCCTGGTAGGGCTCAAAGAGTATGAAATTCAGTCAGCAAGTTCCCCACTGCCCGTGGTCTTGAGTCCAGCTTGAGGTGAAAGACCACAGCAGGGCACCCCATGGAAGTGGTCTGCAGTTTTGCCAACCTCAGAACCTACTCCAACTCCCATTCAGAGCCACCAAAGCTGGTCCTGTACTGTGCAGGGAGACAAGGGCAAGGAGGGGCTAGTACCCAGGTTGTAGCTGACTTTGAAGTTGGTTTTGGCCCATGTAGACCTGAATTGGGAGGGGGCCTTCCCTTAGGGTGGGGTAGAATAGTAAAGCGAGAGGAACATAGGTTTTGATGATAGACTTGGGTTGGAATACGAGCTTGAGTATATATTAACTGTGATAGGTCAAGGCAGTATGTTTTCTTGACCTTTCTGTATTGTGTGATCTACTTTGTGGAGTTGAAACAAAGATTAAATGAAATACAAAGCATTTGGCATCGACACTGTCAGGGTAAAGGAGCAGTAAATGATAACAATGATCACTGGGGATTTGCTTTTGAAGAGGAGCTGGCCCCCTCGAAAGGATTCAGGATAACTTCCTCCTGGGCCCCAGATCTATTTGCCAATCCCATAGGTCCGGTCCCATCTATACCAGCCCTCCCGCTTTGGACTCATGCTCCACGCATGCGCTCTCGCCCCCTCTCTGCCTCCGTTCTTTCCCGCAGTCAGGAGCCTCGCGTCCCTTCCGGCCTTGGCCCCGCCCCTTCAGTCTTGCTCCGCCTCCCACAGATAGACCCTGCCTCCCGAAGCAGTTCCGGTTTGGCTGGGAGCAGCAGGCGGCGCGGCGCTGACCGGGCTCGAGCGATGCCTGCGCGCAGCCGCCCCCGCCCCCGCCCGCTCTCGGGCTCCCCGCCCCGGGCTCCGCCCCCGCCGCTCCTGCCGCTCCAGCCGCTCCACTCAGCCAAGACGCCCAGGGTCCTGGACTCCGACGGCGCCTCGGACGCCGACGCCGACGCCGACGTGGGTTCGCGGAGCCCGACTCCCGCCGCGGAGGTAAGCGGGCGCTGAGCTGAAGAGAAGGGAGAGTGGCCGGGACGGGGAGGGGGTGGGTCGGAGCGGGGAGGACTTCTGCAGTCAAGGGTGAATGGTAAGCTGGGGGCCGCGGGGGACGGTTGAGGGAGCCTGGAGAGTCCACTCTAGGATGGAATCTGGAGGAAATGGAGGTTGTTGAGCCGGCGGCCTGAGAGGGAGACGACGCCAGAGGCTGCGGGGTCTGCGGGAGCTGAAGGGCGAGCCGGAATGGAGAGTCGGGGGCTGGGGCGTACGAGCCGCGTAGTGGGGTCCCCGGGAATGAGATGCTCAGGGCCTGGCAGTGGGGATGAGGGATTCGGGGCTCTGCCCAGGGAGGGGATGGTGCTTAGGGAGGGCTGGAGTTCGCGTCGGCTACGGGAGGGAGGGGCTGCTGCGTGAGAAGTGGTCCTGCTAAAGGTTGACTGTAGCTTTGAAAAGAGAAACACGGTTCAGAAAGAAAAGAGGCCCTTGGGGATCTAATTCAGGATTGTGGCATTTTTACAGTCAGGTGTCTTTGAAGGGATCTGAGATTGCCAGGGCAGTGTACTTGGATCACAGGGCTGTCTTGTTGGTGAACCAGTGGATCCTTTTAAGAATC